CGTGCGGAGTAGAGGCGTGTGGCTTCTACTTTGCCCGAGCTGTAAGAGTCACTGTGCAGATGCCTAGGCTCCTGCCTGCACCTCTGGGCCCAGTCCGAAGGGAGGCTATGCGCAGGCAGCCGGGAGGAAAAACCCTAGTGAGTTGCCTGGGTTACAACATAGCCAGTTACCAGCAGGTCTGGGATGATCTGAGGGTTTCTACACTCAGGGCAGTGACTCAGTGACTGACAGATTTTGTATAGTGCAGTCCCAGGGTTGCAGACCAGGCAGGGTGGGGAGGCTGTCCCCCAAGGCACTCACAGTTTCCCCCTGCTCAGAGACAGAAAAGGAGCTGAAATGAATGTCAAACAAGTCAGAGCACGCCCCTGCACTCCTGGCCCTCCCCTGCACCCTCTTGGGACATGAAGAAGAGGGTTTGGGATTAGGGACTTGACTGGAGGTCTGGCAGGGACAGAAGCTGGATGAAGTTCCATTAGAATACTGAGCTTTCATGTTTCCTGTCAAGAGGAAGAGAGAGTGGTCATAACTGCATGAGCTCAAGCCAGGTTGCCCAAGCTCAGCCGTTGGCTTTCCCGCTTACTATGCAACTCACTTGTCCAGACCTCAGTTTTCCCCTTTGTGAAATGGTAACTGCTGTGTCCCACCGCAGGGATGATTCAGTCAGTTCGTGTATGCCCACATACAGAGCAGTGCCTGGTACAGCAATTGCCATGAACCTCATTGGGTGGGATTTCGCCGATTCATTTTTTTTTTAAAGAATTATTTTATTGAACTTTCTTTCTCTTCCTTCCTTCCTTCCTCCCTCTCTTCCTTCCTTCCTTCCTTTCTTCCTTTCTCTCTTTCTTCTTTCTTCTTTCTTTCTTTCTAATTTGATCAGAGAGGTATAGAGTGAGAGAGAAAGTGAGAAAGCAAGCCGCCAGGTCCGGGATTTGAACCATGGTCGGTCATGTGGGAGTCCAGCGCCCTTGACCACCACGCCACCTATTGGCCCTAAGACTTCTTTTTTTATAAAAGCAGTTTTAGGTTCACAGCAAAATTGAGAGGAAGGTAATTTATCCATATGCTCCTCCATACATATATGCTGTCTCCCTCATATCTATATCCCCCACCCAATCGGCACATTTGTCGCAGTGGGTCAGACTACGTGGACACATCTTTTTAAAGAATTATTATATTTAACTTTATTTATTATTATTATCATTATTATTTTCCAGTTTGATCAGAGAGAGACAGAGAGAGAGAGGAAGTGAGAAAGCAAGCCACCAGGTCCGAGACTTGAACCGTGGTTGGCCATGTGGGAGTCCAACACCCCTATCCACCATGTCACCTGCCGGCCCCGGGAGTCCAGTATCTTTAACCACCGTGCCACCACCTGGTCCCTAGCCTATTCATTTTGCAGATGAGAAAACTGAGACTCAAAAGATGTGTGCAGTGGACTTGCCTGAGGCCCCACATCTGAGAGTGGCGGAGGGAGGGATTTGAACCTGCTTTCCTTCAATGCATTCTGTCTGGCTGTGGCATTTTGCAGATGTGACCAAAAGGGGCGTGTCTCCAAGCATTCTTCACTGCTAGCCATTTTTCTCAGAGGGACTAGAGGAGGCCTGAGGCTTGTCTGGGTGTTGTAGGCCTTGCTTGAACATGGGCAGAGCACCCTAGCAAAGGCTTGCGGGCCCTGCAGAGGTCAGGGTCCACCATCAGGTGGGCCATGACCCCCATTGCTTCGTTGTGTATCTTTCAGCAAATTTTTTTTTTTTTTTTGGAGAGGTTTTCGCTATAGGGCGCGTGTGCTCGCCAGACAGACAGAGAGAGACAGAGAGATAGAAAGCGAGAAATCACCCCCCAGGGGGGATAGCCA